GACCCGAGCTCCTTGGGGAACTTGTACCTCATATTTTACAATGTTTTCCTCACTTTAGGGTAAGTGTGATATGTGTGTGAGGGAGAGAGGACGAGATGATTAGCCTTTTCGTCTCTTATTTTTTCTTTGATTATTATTATTATTTATCAAAATTTTAATCCGTTTGCCTAATTTTTATCAGTTAAGGGATGAGGGCGAGATGGATAAGCCCTTTTTTCCTCTTAATCTTTATGGATGAAGGGGTGATGGGGTGGTTGGGAGTCTGCACGGGAGTGGTTGGGCTGAATTAATGAGATGGGGAGATGATCTGCTTCATTGAAATGCCAAGGGTTATGATGCATGGCTCTGGTTCGTTGGCTGGGAATGAAAATATAAGAATTTTTATTATGTAGAAAGAGAGAGAGAGAGAGAAAAGAAGGAAAAAAAATGTTTATGGTCATGAAGAATTAAGAAAACGCTATTAAACATGAAGACGGCCATATGCGCTGTATGTTGTGTTCTGGCAGTATTCGACAAAACTCCACCTCATGAATTCTGGGAAGGATAGATCTTCTAGACCTCAAAGACCGGTACATGAGAAGAACACGTCCGAATGCTGTCTAGCCAAATATATGGGGGTGGAGGTTTGATGGTCTTTGCCAGAGCTGAGAGCACTGGAATATAGTTTAATGCTGTAATATTGTTTACGAACATCAGGCTAACGTCTTTCTTTACATCACTAACAAATCCTGTAATAAAAAAGCAAGTTAAACTGTGTAGTGTCGGCACTTCTAGCCAAGTTGTCCTTAAAGCCCAGTTAAAAAAAATGTCCTCATGTGCCCACAGGTGGTTGATCGTCTTGATTCAGACCGTCCACCATTTAGTCCACGAGCAAGGCAATATTACCGGACTATGGGAGAACACCAATTCCGTGCTCCTGATTTTCCAAACACTGGCTGTCTTGGAGGTAAGCTAATGCAGTAAAAGATTTTAATCAAGAAAATTGAAATACATTCTTTCTTTTCTATTTTTATGGTAGAATTATCCTTGGTGAAAAAGGAGTTTAAAGAAATAACAGGAAGTGATAGCGTAATTAAGTGTATGTATCCTTAAATGAATACAATATTCTTATTCAGTATATGAAATCTCAAAACAGGATCTGGCATCTGTTGCTGCACATACACGGTCAGCTCTGAGAGGAGAAATAAGTTTTTTGCTTATGGAGGTGGAATAAAAACTTGATGTGGTTCAGGGGAAAAAACTTGCACTGTGTGGTCACTCCCTTTTTTTCTTCTTGCCTTTTTATTTTTATTTTTTTCGTTCTTTTTATTCTTTCTTTTTTCTTTTCTGTACATCCTGTTCTATCTTTCTCTTTCACTCTGATATAAAATTCCATTAAAACACACTGATAATAATATTTTTCTTTATATAGATAGATAAAAAAATAAATACAGATACATATATGCATACATATACATATTCATACATATACATATACATATACATATACATATACATACATATATATACATATATATACATATATATACATATATTTATATATATTTATATATATTTGTATATATTTATATATATTTATATATATTTATGTATATTTATGTATATTTATGTATATATATGTATATACACACACACACACATCACATATATGGATAGATAGATATAGATTATTTTTTTAATGGCTATTGATTTAAATTGATTACTGTATTTTCATAGTAAATCAGCAAATTTCCAAATACCAAGAAAGTATTATTGATGATGATGATGTTTTTTTTTTTTGATTTTTTTTTTGTGTGTGTGTGTGTTAGTGTGTGTGTGTGTGTGTATTTTTGTGTGTGTGTGATTTTAGATACACTCTTACAATTTTACATTTCAACAGTTTTGATTTGGTCATGTTTCTTTTACGATTGCCAGATCATGCACTCCGCAGTCGGTCTTGTGTCCTCCAGCGTGATGATGGTCCTGCCACAGGTGTTCTCTCGACTGATGGTGACCTGGGCCATCCTCTACTCCTTTGGAGACTCGCGCACCAGCATAGGTATGTTCCCTTAGCCGTTGCAGGTGTAAGGAAAAGAGCAATGAATTTCCTGACTTTGTGGTAATCCAGTATGTACAGTGGCAGTGATATGTAGCTTGTTAAAAGAGAAGCTTGTGATTTTTTAAAACCTTGAATCGGGGTGACTTGAACATCATGTCATGAATAAAATTGGCTGAGAGCAGGGTGGCATGAATATGCAGTCATGGAAAAAAATAGGGTGAGGACTTGGCTTGGGTGACAGGAATAGGCCATCATGAGGATTTCAGCTGAAGGCCAGGGTGATGGGAATGACTCGCCAAGAATGGACAGAGCTGTTAGAGGGCAAGTAGACTCATTGGGCATTTAAGAAGGGGCTCTTGCATTATTTCCATTGGTAAATGAGTGTAGACTGTATCATTCTTTGACTGTAAAAAGGCTGGCTCCAGAGAGAACAGTAGTTCCATGCTGGGGATCCTCTGTCTGCCCACTGTGACCAGTTGCATAAGGTGCATTGCAGAAAATTGGAATATTACAAAAATGTTTAAAGTATGGCACAAATAACAAAATATTATTTATTATTGTTACTGCACAAAGTTATAGAGATGATATGGCTATAGTATATCAGATGATGAATATAGACCTTGGAAAAGGCCATAAAAAAACACTTTTGTAGAAAAGAGATAACAACATTGAAGAGGGGAAGCAAGGAGTCTTGACACCTAAGTGTGTGTTGGGCCTACAAGCCACAGGAGAGTCACCACTCAAGCAAGACTAATGCCCAGATTGTGGGTCACATGTATAACCTTTTTGACTTCTGTATTACAGGATTTCCAATGCTTTTGATTGCCTGGAGTGTGACGGAGGTGATTCGCTATTCATTCTACTTTTTGAACATCCTCAAACAAGTGCCCTTCCTTCTCACCTTCCTCAGGTAAGGTTCAGGAAAAAAAATTGGAGGAAGAGATGTATGTGTTGACTACTGTTATTTGGTTGCTGTTTCTTTATTTGTGTGAATTTATTTGTAAAATATGGATAAATTTCTTCTTTATGTAATAGAATCATGTTATGTTCATAAGTAGACTGAATATCAATATTTATTTGTAATAAGTTGAATATATATATGGTTAACATAAATGTTTTAACTTGGGTTTTTTTACTGTAGTTATTCAAGCTGGGTTATCTTTATAATGTATTCAAGAAAATAATTTTCATTATGAAAGCAGAAAGAAAAAGGGGAAATGCAAAGAAGATATAATGTAAATTCACATGTATATTGATTATGAATAAAGATATTAGCAGTTTTAATTGTTGTTACTATGGTTAGCATTTCACAAATCATTGTTACTGAAGTCCCTAGTCATTATGACCCTGACTACATATGCTGTTTTATTTTTACAGGTACACCCTCTTCATTGGCCTCTACCCCCTTGGTGTAACTGGTGAGATCCTGTGTGTATATGCAGCACTGCCAGCAGCAGCAGAGAAAAAGATTTACTCTGTCACTATGCCAAATGCTCTCAACTTTGCCTTTGACTTCTATTATGGACTGATTGTCTTTGTCCTTCTTTATTTCCCAGGTAAGGACTAGTTGTTTATTTTCATGATCACCAACACATCTAAATGTTTTATAATCTGAGGATTGTCCAGAAAATAATGAGCCTTTCTGTATATATAAACAAAGTGGGCTGCCCAATGTTTAAGGCTTTTCAGTCTCCTAAATACTCGTCTTGGGATGTCACACAGTAATCCCATCCACCTTTTAAACCATTCTGAAGTCTCCTTTTGGGACATTCTCTTGTATTTAATTTTCTGTGGCGGTAAAGCAAAATTTCAGAGGTAATATTAACTTTTGGGAAAGTTGCCGGGGAACTGGCTGAATGAAGCTATGGTTTGCAAAACTAGAAAGTGGGTGGAACCACACAGACAAACAAAAAAGAAATTTGGAGAAACTTTGAGCACAACCTTTATAGTGCTCTAGCTTTGCACATGGAGACTGATGTAACTTCTCATGGGGAGTTGGGCTTTTGTGTCAGTGTCATAGACGTAGTCCCATGACTTGTCTTCAGTTGTGACTTCCTCTTTTTAGGAAGTCTTGATCATTAGTAGCAGTTTCAAGCTGGGCCTGTGCTACTATTTGTCCAACTGTGATTCACTGATCTACTACTGATGTCACTGTGAATACGATGATGAGCATTTTCCAGAACTCGCATAATGGTCTAAGCAAGGTCAACTGAAGCTTGCCACCGATTGACTGTCAATTTCCGTGAAAACTTTGTGACTGGGATTTGAGATATTCAAACTGGCTCATTATTTTCCTGCACAGATCTAAGTCTGAAATATCAATAATGACTGCCTCTTTTTATTTGTTTCATTTCATTTTTTGCTTTTAAAATTTAGTTGAAAAAAATGTCTGGGCTAACAGCTAAATGAACCGCTCAGAAATGTCTTTGATTTTTTTTCTCTTTCCTTTCAGTGTTCCCGTCATTATACATGCATATGTTCGCTCAGAGACGCAAGGTTCTCGGTGGCGGACATAAGAAGAAGGAATAGGACGTTGATGCTGTATAGTATTCCGTAGTTTTAACAATTCCCCCTGTTTTCTCTCTTATTTTGACCAGTATTTATTCTTTCTGAATGTGGGTTTTCATAGGCAAATGATATTTTTTATACATGTAGTTGAAAAGCCTGAAAAAAAAGAAGAAAAATTGACTTTGTATTATCTTGCTTTGAATAACAAATTGATGCTCAAAACAAGAAGAAAATGTCACAAAATGATAACATGTACACACAATCTACTCTCTTAATTTAGTTTAATCCTAAGGAAACAAAAGCCACTTTCTATTTCAACTCAGCATCCCTGACTCATTCCAAAGTAAAGTGGGCACACTGTGGCAAAGGAGAATGAATTCAGAGGTCCTAATAAAGAATAAGTTTGTTTATTTTCATGTTGGATGTAAATGCTAATAAAACTTTTTTTAATTTA